AGAGATGCCCAGAAACACGAGGATAGACCAGGAGGTTGAATGTCCTGCTTTAATCAGCAGGATTTGGGTTTAATGTTACTGTGAGCTCATTGCCACCCTGACACGGGCATACTTGGAAAACTCACTATAAAAGGTGACACAGGACTTGAACCTGCCCAAAATCATACAAATATATTTATGAAGATCAGTTCACCTTAAATTGGTGGCAACTTTTAATATTTAGTCCCACTTGAATAATCCCCAAGAATATTTTTCAGATTAACGCTTATACCTAACATGCCCAAAACAGAGTCATTTATTTCAGTCAACGACAGACGGCATATATGTAGGTAGTCCTGTAAGATTATAGTGGAACTAAAAAACTCCTATTGTTAAGGAACAGACAGGTGTGAATGGTGAGAACACGAGGTTAAGAGAATAATTCTATAAAATGGGCCCAGGGTGCTGACCCCCACATGCTTTCTTTGCCAAGAAGCAATTTACCTGCAGCCCTGCCTGACCTCAGTGGACAGGCTATGTCACATTCCTCAGCAAACTACCCTTCACTGCAGGAGAAATGCAGGCCCCAAATAATGTTGATAAGAGGAATCCAGGTTACCCTGAAGGAGGAGACTTTTGTGACCAGATCCTGAAACTCTGGGAGATAAGGAGGGTTCCTCCTAACCCTAAAACCTATACGAATGAATAGTTAAGAATCTACTTAGAACCGGCTCAAGTGACCTAGGGTTGCCAAGGCAGTGGGGTACTTGAAAGTCTGATGTCCGTCAAAAGTCAAGAGGTAGACCTGAGCAGGACTCTCTGGAAACTTCTCTGGGATCCCCAGGAAAGCTGCAATGCCAGCTAGGCACCCTGTCCCTCTCCTCTGTGAGAGGACCCGCTTTCTTCCTTGGGAGTATCCCCTTTCCCTTTTCCTACCCCTTCAATAAACTTATTCCTGTTACTCTAAGTGACACATCTGAAATCTTTCTGACTTGGTTTCAAGAATTAGGGTTTGAGGAAAGGGTCTTCAAGTTGCTTCAGTTTCTTGAAAGCCCCCAGCTCCGTAACACTATCACCCAGAGATATTGTATCCAACACAACACGTTGCACAACACATCACCCCCATGTTTGCTGTGTGCTGGTGTAAACACACCCACTGAACTAGCAGTTGTATCAAAGTACACCACATACAATTATTTACAGTATGTGATACTTGGTAATGATGATAAGCGACTATGTCACTGGCTTTTGTATTTATTGTACTTATTATGGTTATTTTAGAGTGCACTTCTAATGACTAAAAAGTGTTTACTCAACCGAATGTCATGTTCAAAGACAGCAGCTCCATACATCTTGCATTTACTGAGTCTCTGAACTGCAGCAAGAGACCATGTTGAGTGAGTGGCCCGCACCACGTAGGTCTGTAAGAGCGCACTCTAGGAGGTTCACACAGTGACGAAACACGTCCTCATCATGAAGCAACACGCTGCATAATCTACACATGTGGACATCACTGGAGACTGTAAGAATATATGACCACAAGTGGACGTTTGCAGACTCCAGGTCAACCTCTACAGGTACCAAGGTTGGCTATTGAGGCCTCCATGCCCTGGGCAGAGGCCACAGGCATCTCCATTCCAGACCAGAGCAGTTCACCCGGAGCCTTTTCACTGAGGGAGACAAGGAAAACCAGATCCCTTTTTTAAAACGCTTGCAAAGAAAAAAATAAATAAACACAACAAACACAGGATTTTTTTATGGTCTCAACAGAGACAGGTAAAGACTAGAATGTATGTATATTTATATAGAACGGGGTTTTGATAAAATAGAATAAGAGCTGGGGGAGTTCCCATTTTATTATTTGTTAAAAAAAAAAAAGTAAAAAAAAAAACCCCTCAAACCTCAGCCCCAGTCCCTATTGAAAAAGAAGAAAAAAAACATGAGCACAGAGGAACTTGTAGAGTGAATGCCTATCTCCCTCAGGCCCACTCAACCCCGTCACCATGGAGACTCCTGAAGGTTCCAGGAATGACTCACAGATCCGCTGGTAAAGCCTTTGAAATGCAAGCAGCACGGAACACAAAGGGGAACTTGGTCTGCAGCCCTTGAAGGCTCTGCCTGTGACTCCAGGCTGACAGTCTAGAGAGAAGGTGGCAGGCTTCAGAGAATATGTCCTCCCTTGCTTCCCGTCCTCATTATTTGGAGGCACTCTGCTTCCCAGAGCAAAAGTTAAACAACACTTTTGCCTTGGATCAGCCTTGTCCTCCACTACAGGAGAAACACCCAGGTAAAGCCCAGAGGTGTGAGTACTTGAAAGGGGAGGCCGGGAGCCTCCGGATTAGAGGGGAGGCAGTGTTCAGAAACTCTGGGCTAGAAAAAGGCATGTAGGCACTGTGGGCCAAGGTTTTCCTCCGGCAGCTGAAGTCTTCTCCTGGCTGACCACCCTCTGGCTGCATAAAACTCACTCATCACATTATGTTCCTTCTGAATTCTAGAGTGTAGACTCTGAAAATGGCTTTGCTTTTATCTCCACCATAGCAAGGACCTGAAGTCAGAGAGACACAGGAAGAAGAGCAGAGCAAGGAAGGTTCTCCTTTCAGGTCAGCCTAGGCCTTGTCTCAGACTCAATAACAGCCCGGAGTCTGAGACCCAAGGGAATTTCCCAGGGTTGTCTCTATAAGCGTTCCTAATTTGCTTTTTTCGTTTTTTGTTTTGGAACTTTGGCATTAGAATCCAGGGATGCTTTATCACTGAGCTATGGGTATCCCAGATCATTTTACTTTTTGAGACAGGTCTTACTAAACTGCAGAGGCCAGCCTCTAACTTACCATCCCCCTGCCTCAGCCTCCTGAGCCACTGCAATTACAGGTCTGTGCCACACTGCACCTGACTCCATAACACAGATCTGTAAGGAGGAACACCAGAGTTCTCTAGTCCAAAATGCATGGAAAGTACCCCCTTTTTTTCTCTAGAATAGAACCCACATGAAGACGTGTTTTCTTTACTTCTCTAACCTTAATCAGTACATCCTGGTGAATGCAGACCTGCCCAAGCACGAAAACAAATCAGAAAGAAAGGAAGGGCTGAGCCAACGCTGCAGCAGTCGGCTCCTCTAAACTATTTATTCTGATTTCTCGACAAGTGAGTTAATTGGATGAGCCCCTGTGACAGACATTCCTTACTAAAATTCATAGCTTCCTGCCAAAACAACATATTGTGCGCTGCTATATTTTCCTGGTTGGATCTCGGAGCTGCCCTGGGTCCTGAGCAGTTTCACGTGGGAAAGAGAAAATTGAAAGCACAGAAACCAAAGTGGCATGTTTTGAGGCTCCGGGTCGCCTGGCCGCTGCCCTCTGCCCAGCACCTGTTATTATTGTTAGGGCTTCGGAGGGCTCGAGTTCCCTGGGAGCCACGGAGAGTGAAGAAGCAGATGCCTGTTTTGAAGCATCACCAGCTGGAGCTTCCCTGCAGCCTGTGCGGCCTGGGAAGGGCCCCTGCTGTTTGGCGGCTGCCTCTAGAGCTGGGCTCTTTCCCGCAGGTAGGTTCCCGCCGGGCAGCCCTGTCCTCTGTCCCTGTCCCTGTGCTCAGGGCCCATGCCGGGCACCTGGATGGCCCTCCTGGCCAGTGCCACCCCAGCCTCGCTGTTGCCCTGGGGAGCAGGGCTGGTCCCGCCTGCCCAGAGCCAAAGATGGACCGACCGTGGGGTGCAGGGCGCATGCTCGCCCGCCCTGGGCACCCCATCTGCAGCCTCCAGCGCTGTCTGACAGGTTCCTTCTCCTTCCAACAAAATTCAACAGCTGCCTTCCAGGACCCAGTGATTTCCCCTCTGAATAGCATTCCCTTTTCACCTTCGAGGACTTTCATCTCAGCCTCCTTCCATCCATCTGCAGGGGTCCAACAGCCACCACCCCTCTGCTTCCCAGGTCCCTTCTCTGATGCCCTCAGAATGAAGGAGCAAGATGCCAAGGCCTCGGCTGTCCTCCCAGGACTTGGGGCTCCCCCACACGCCCTCCTCCACTCTCTGGAGCGCGTACTCTCCGCACCGAACATGCACAGACGGGGTCTTTGCTGCGCATTGAGGTTCCCCGCGCATGCGCAGAGACCCATCAGCAAGCGGACAACAGGCCAAGGCGCACTTGCACTCCAGCCCCAGGAGCCTCGGAGTCCGCCCCACAGATGAGCCACCAGTTCACTCCAGGGTGGGTCACTGAGCCCTGTGGCTTCCCACGCCTCAGATGTCCCTGTTCCCTGTTCCCAATCGGTTTCACCTTCATGACCCCGTATGGCAGCTTCTCCACAACCTCCAGGAGCATCTAAGGACAGCATCGTCTTTCCAGAGGAGACTGCCAAGGACCACCGTTTGCTGGTCACAGCAGCTCCCACCCAGGGCTCTGGGCTTGGATTCTGCACCCCTCCACCCCTCCTGGCTCCCAGGGAAACACAAACCAGCCCAGATGGCTCATTTCTCCTTCTGGGACATCCTAGAGTAGGGGTTACCCAGAGGGAAGAGGTAGGGAGAAATGGTCTTCCAAATGAGAGAAGACAGCTAAGGAATGGAATCCATATGAAAGGGAGTGGCTTTGAAACAAGAAATTGACTCAATAGGAGAACAAAGTCCCTATGTGGAGAAATATTATTATTATTTTTGCCCCAAGAGAGCAAAACATCTCAACATTTCTGCCTGAAATCATCTATCATTTCTGAACAGGGCTTGCTGCTGTCCTCTCCTGGTCCCCAGCTCACTCTGATCCAGATGCCCCTCCCTTGCCTCTGCACTGGCCCAGGTTCATTCCTTTCTGAAAACCAGCTCATACACACCTGTTCCTGGCTCCCAGCCTCCAGGGTCTTCATTTTGCTGAACCCCTTCCCATGTCTACACTGTTTGAGGCTAATTTAATGTCCTAGTTGGTATTTTGTCTTGAGAGAGTCCATTGGTTGTTGTGTGTGAGCTGACCAGAAGGAGGCGCACATATCTTCCTACACTCATCCTGCTCTCCTTGCTGGGGACCCCAGGAGGTGGAGAGAACCTCTCCATCCTAGGTCCACCGAAGCTACTCTTCTCATTTCGTATAGCACAATCTACCTTGTGGGCCTCCAAGACATTTGCCAGGGCTTCCTTCTGTTAAGTGACTATTGAGTTTAAAATTTCTATGTGTTAGGTATGATTATCCCAGTGATGCTGGGCAACTGTTCATTTCCATGGATTGAGAATAAATAGAAGTTTAGAGTTACGGATATAACTCAGTGGCAGAGTGCTTGCCTAGCATTTGCAAGGCCCGGGGTTCAATTTCCAGTACTAAAAAGCAGTTTAAGTTGCAGTATGAAAGATCTAAGCTTAAAATATATATATATTTTTTATTCTAGAGCTGGGCACAGTGGTACATTGCCTGTAATCACAGTGGCTCAGGAGGTTGAGGCAGGAGGATAGCGAGTTCAAAGCCAGCCTCAGCAAAGGTGAGGCACTAAGCAACTCAGTGAGACCCTGTCTCTAATAAAATTCAAAATAAGGCTGGGGGTGTTGCTCAGTGATTGAGTAACCCTGAGTTCAATCCCTGGTATCCAAAACAAAAAAACAAAATTTGGAGGGTGGGTGGGTGGTGGCTGGTAGATTTTGCACTCCCTTTGCTAAGAGAGTCTTTAAATGCAAACTCCCCACTCCCCTCTTTTCAAATGCCTCAGTGTTCTGGTAGAAACTGAAGGAGTTGGGAAGGATCTGACTTAGAAATAACCCTGAACAAGGTTACAAACAGGGTGGATGCTTTGGGTTTGTAGACCTATTTGGTTTGGCATGCCTAGTGTTTCCCATGAAAATCCTAATTTCTGCTTCTTTTGAACAAAACAGTTGATATGACAACCCAGGGCTGTCTGCCCTGGTTGGCTACAATGCCTGCTGGAGTGAGGTCAGTCTGCCTCCTTGGACAGGTCCTGCCCATTCTCTTGGCCTTGGCCCCTCAGGGCAATTCAACTACAGATGCTACTTTCCTGGCCTATGAAGCATTTGAGTTGGTGACCTCATACAATATGCATCAGGTCAACCTTTCCAACATGCACCTTTCCATTTAAGCCAAAATCTGAGCTTTGCCAAACTTCTCTAGACAGCATAAGAGTACAGGGCACAGGCTGAACTGCTTTTGCATTACCGGTTCTGATTCCCACACTCTATTTTAACTCTCCATGAAAACATGGCAGAATCAAGTTCCCTTCCTGCTTCCCTTCTGGGGAAATCAGAAGTATTCACCAGGTGTGGAAATACAAACTTATTTCTTGGAGTTGCCAACTTTGCTATACAGAGGCACATGTTGATTTCTACCTAATGAAAAATCCAGAGCAAGCTGGAGTCTGACAGATACAACCCAATCCACTGTTTACTCTGGTGCTAATCACAATCATGTTTACAGGAAAATGCCCTCATCTGCTTCCAGCAGCTCCAGCCACTCAGCCATGTGAGAGCTGTCTTCAAAGTCAATTGCCTGTCATTTTGCTGATTTATGTTGAGCAACTGCAAGGACCCCTCGAGGTATTTGTAGCTAGCTTGATGATTCCCAGCTTATAAAGTGGCACTGGGCAGAGTATTTCAGTTCAAATTCCCATCAAGACAGAATTTAAATCCCCAGCCCTGCTGCTCGTGTTTGCAATGTGAGCACTTTAGATAAGCAGAAACCATCAAACCCTAAATGCTGGGGGAAATACAACCTGGATTTCTTCAAATGGAGCCTGAGCCCAAATCTTCCTTCAGACCTTGGATACGGAAGTGATTCTAACCGTCTTTAAAACAGTGATCACATATGCTTTTTCCCAAGAAGTAGGCACTACTGAGGCAGGCCAGGGACGATCAGATAGGAAGGAACCGAGAAACGCATTTTCCTGACCGCCTGCCTGGATTCTTACATTTCAAACCAGCAGAATCTAATTTCTTTGGAATTGCTTGGCCCTCAAACAGAGATTTTCTTTTTAAAATGAAAATATGACTGAGAAGAGTGACGTATTAAATTACTAGCCCATTAGCTTCTGGTTCAGCTTCAGTTTTAATGGAGTACAACCTCCTTTTCGATGCCAATTCCCTCTCGACCCTTCCCCCACATGCACTGAATATGCTGGAAGCTTCCAGATCTCCAGGAGCGAGTGGGCCTTCATCTGTTGATGCTGAAAGGTTGGATGGCAGGTTCTTTCTGAGAATCACCTGCACCCAACGCCTTGTGACTTGTTCCATGCACTGTCTCAGCAAGTCCTGAACCACCAAGAGGTAAAAATGGGTGACATATTTTTTTAGGTTCTCCCTTCGAGCAGTGGGCAGTCACACAAATGATGCGAGGATCACCCAGCTCTTGCATTTTCTGTATCTCTGCATTTTTTTTGCCTACTTGGTGTCTCAGATAACATATTCATACAGCATTAGGGCTTCATTGCGAGGTCTAACTCAGCTTCTTCAGGTGAGGAAACCAAGGTACTGTGACTTCCCTACAGTCAGAAGAGACTGAGGATCCTTAAGAACCCAGACTTGCGCAAGACTGACTCATCCAAATTAAGGCCGACTCCAAAAGGAGTTCCATTGAGTCATCTTCCCATCATTTCTCTCCAGTTCTCGCTTAGAGAAAGCATGTGTTTCTTCCCTTTAGAAAAGAGACTGCTCAGATGTACCACCTCATTACATTTGTTAATTCCTCTCTTTACATGCCAGCTGTCTTTTTCTGGGTTTCTGTCACCTGCCCTATTTGGCCATCTCCAAACTGGCTCCTGTCTTTGAGCCACACAGTGAGCTTTCCTGCAGCTCCACTTCCTGTTCCAGGGCCAGTTTTGCCCCTTGCCGGCGGCTGCTGCTGCTGCTGCTGTTGCTGTTGCTGCCTCCTCAGCCTGGAAAGCTGGGTTCCCTGCTCACTCGCTGTGCTGCCGAACGCCACTGGGTGGCAGTGTTTCAGAGCATTCCTGGGCCCTGCAACGTGGCTTTTGGGTTGGGCGGCTGATTGCTCATCTTTTACAGCACAAATAGGACTGTGTGAACAGGCAGAGCACAGATTTGCTTTCGCACTTGGGAAAGGATGAGTATTAGATTTGATGGTAACTAGGGACAGAGGTCTGCGTACTGTCTGTGTCCTTTTAGAGCTTGCTGTATGCACCAGGCTGACATCTGCCATCATTTTAACAAAGGAATCACAAATCTGAAGTTGGCTTGGGAGGTACCCTGGGAAAGAATGGACATAACCCTCTGCCCTCCTCGTTTTGATTTTTCAACCCACCATTGGGCTCTGATTCATCCATAAAAACAACAAGCAAAGGGGAAAAAGGCAATTCCCATGAGCATTATGTGTTTGCTGGACAGGATAGTAATGGCTAATCCTTCTAATGGCTTTGGTCACTGCAGGATATTAGCTATTAGGAGGGTCTGTTTTAAGGGGAGTGGTGGGGGAAGGTAGGCCATCTGCTGATTACAGCATGTACTAGGAATGGAAAGAACATTTAAAGAGACACAGTCCGTCGATTTGGATGCAAATAATTAGTTTGCCATTTAAAAGGTATATCCGGGGCTTGGTTTTTAGTATCTGAATTGTATGCATAGTTCAGACTCTAAATGTGATGCCTCCGATTGGAGCCGATCCCAGGAACTATTTGGTTCAGCCCTTGTGCTTTTTGTAAAGGATTTCTCAGGGGACGAAGGGAAATGCAGCCTGAAACGCTTCAACATTTACAACAGGAGTTGGAGCCTGTGGAATTCAAGCCAAATGTTTTTATTATAAACAGGGCAGCCCAGGACCAAACTGTGAAGAACACGCTTAATTGCCAAGCCTCCTGCCCAGACCCAGCCTCTGCACAGGGAATGGTCCCCTCCATCTCACTGGTGGCCCCCTCCCCTCTTGGGGTTCTCCATTTTTTCCAATGTGCTTTACCTTCCCTCCCAGGCCTGAAAAGGAGCTAAGAAAGAAAGAAAAATCGTCCCAAGTGTCCTGGAATCACAGGAAATGAATTAGGCTCTCAGTTCAGGAAAACTAGGGACAGGCTGACCTCTCCCCCCTCCCAGATGGATTCAGCCGAGACTGGAAGTGAGCAGCGTCCTGGCCTCCCCACCTGGCCTGACCCTGGCTCCAAGGTAACCCCTGTGGCAGCCTCTGGGGATTTTATCCTACAACTCATGAGAAGGGAGACTGTGAGGATTTATTCAGTATCAAGTGCATCCTGTCATCATGCAAAATATCAAACACTTGGCCCCTGAACTGAGAGAACATAAAGCCTTGAGGAGAGAGAGTTCCTGAATATTGAGACGTTAATGTTGAATACGGGCAGTAGATGATGCAGGTGTTCCCAGAAAGAGGCAATTGCCCATGAAGGTGAAGTCATGAAAGTCATCACAGGAGACTCCCATGACTGGAGGTGAACCTCCATTCAGACCTCGGAGGAAGAGGGGGTTGAACCCACAGAGGGACTGGAGGAGGGCATGCCTAGGGGGAGACCCTGGGTTAACAAGGTCCAGAGCACAGAACGTAGGGGAAGACACAGACAGTCCATCTGGCTGCATTTGAAGGGTCTGAGAAGCACAGTAGACTAAAAGGTAGGAGAATCGATACAGATCTGCCGTGGCATCCCTGTGGATGGCGTTGGTTTTTTTGTTTTTGTTTTGTTTTTTAAGATTGCAAGCCACAGGGACACTTGACTTACCTTAAGTGAAGGGGGTTGAATCTACTAAGACAACGAGGGGTACGTCAGCAAGAGAACCTAGCCCTGCCTCTAAGAAAAGTTGGGACAGGCATGTCACCAAGCTCTAGAGACAGGCACGCTCTGTGTGAGAACTGAGTGGTTTAAAATAGAGCTACTTAGAGATGTCAAGGTCTAGTAAAGCCAACAGATCAGGCAGAGACGGCCGTTGGGATTTTAGTTTATTACAGTTCCCAAGGGGACAGGGGGTGCCATGCTTTGGGGACCACCTTCTCACCAGGGCGAGAGGAAGGGTGGGGAACCGCGGGCAGGAGCCTAAGGCAGAGGTGGGAAGGGGGATGCGAGTTGAGCAGGCCCAGGATTTGTAGGTCAATACTTCCCATGGGACCCGGAGCGTAGGGGCTATGCCTAGTTGTGAATCTGGCCTGGGGATGATTAGGGCAGGTCCACAGTGATCCTGGAGTAGTAGGGGCAGGGACTCTGGATTTGTTGGTTTGCTTCTGAAAGGCATTCTCGGATGGGATGGGGAATGCAAGCCATTTGCCATCTCTAAGACTTGACTACTCGTGGGACAGGCAGTCCCTGTCAGGCCAATGAGGCCCCAGATCTCAAAGCATCAGAATACAGGAAATGGTCATGGTCAACACTGTGGAGATCAGTTCAGGACACAGCCATGTTGTTGTTATCCCCCGTGACTGCCACCGCGGTGCCCAGATTGGGTGACTCATCCTCAGCCCCTCCCTGACTCTCCTCTGCTGCTCCCATCTGGAGTGAGACTC